ATATTTGCTTTTAAAAACTTGAAATAAGCTTTTGCTATAAACATTTAATTTACGCATGTAAAACTAATCTCATTGGAAGTTTATTCCAAATACTCCTTTAGATCTAATTAAAACTATTAAAAGCAGTGACTATTCAATTATCAAATAGGAAGAGGTGAAAAAAGCAAAGCAATCTGATTTTTGTTTACTTTTTGCGCTTGCTTTGAGAATACTTGGAAGTACGAGTATAATCGATACTTTTTTGCAAATAAGAGTACTGGCATCGATTCTGTTTTAGAGTATTCCATATGAGTACTAGTATCGGTACTTTTTTTAAAAGTTCTATCACTAAACGTAGCTTGGAACATTTGGCACACAGCGAACATACACACAAACCGACTTTGTTTTTTGAAAAATTATCACTTTTCTTTCACAAATTTATGTTATACTAGAGTGCCAGTTACTGTCGAAATTCGACAGTTTTTCTAGTCTTAGAAGCCTTGGAGATGTTTTCTAACTTAACACGTAGCAAAACTTATACGGTACAAATTAACTAACCGGAAAATCTTCCGCTAAAACGTAACAAAATTTTTTTTATCTGAGAAGGTCTTTGGAGGACTTCGGCAGGGCTTGGAATTGACCCGATGCATTCAAGTTTATCGATAAATTTCAATGATTTGATACATATCGCTAGTTCGATGATATTCAAGAACACTAAAGTTCGATAACTCAACAAAATTCGTTAACTCGACCAATTTCTATAACTGTGAAATTCGATGGCTCGATAAATTTCGATAACTCAAAAATGTAAATTCTTTGGATACCTTTATAAATTTTTACTTTTGACATCTCCACATTTTTCGAAAACTGTCTAAACATTTTGATGACTCGTTGCATTCTGTTAAGACGATTAAATTCGATAAGCAGTGATAAATCGATAAGCTTATATAACCTTGAAATTTCGATAAATCGATATATTTTGAAAATTCCATAAACTTCGCTTCGTTGAACCAACCAATTTCAGTTGATCAATAATTATCGATAACTCTGTAAGTTGAAAGAACTCCATGCATTACGACACCTCGATAAATTTCGTTAAGTCTATAAATAATAATAATTCAATAAATATCGATAACTTGATACATTTATTTAACTTGACAAATTTCGTTAATCCCACACGTTTTTATAGCTCGATAACTATCCGTAAATTTGGACAACTAAGTTTCTGTGTCTATAAATTTCGACAACTCAGTAAACAGTGATCAGTTCGAATAATTCGATACGTTACGATAACTTAATAAGCATGGCTAAATTTCGATAACTGTAAACTTCGATGATTCAATAAATTTCAGTAACCTTTATGGCTGATGTTATTTCGATTCCTATCGGAAAATTTCAACTCTGTTAACCTAATTCTTATGTATTTGTCTTTGTCTCCATTTTCGCCTTTATTTATCTCAATTTTCGTCTTTATCTTCACTTTTGCCTTTTTTGTCTTCATCGTTATCACTTGTTTCTTCATCTTCATATTTATCTTTATTTCAAAGTTTAATTTCAAATATACAGTAAAACAAAATGCGAAACAGCTTAAATTGAACACTTTGAAAATTTTTAAACGACGATTTTCAACCAGTTTCGAAACTACAAAAACTCTCCTCGTCTACATTAAATTAAATTACCTTTCCAATGGTGTTTTTGGTTTTGAAATCGGTAACTTTACTATGGTCGTCATCTTTGTTTTTATCTTTCACATCTTTGCTTTTATCCTTTTCTTTTTCTTTTCACGTAGATGAGATGAGGTGCGATGACGTGATAAGATGTGACGTGATTTTATGTGATGTGATAGGATGTCATGTGTTGTCATATCCTCTGATGTCATGTCATATGTAATTCCCTATGATGTCATATCATGTGATGCCACGTCATGTAATGCCATGTCATGTCATACGATGTCATATCATGTGATGTCAAGTCATGTGATGTCATGCCATATAATGTGAAGTCATATCATATAATGTCATGTCACGTGATATCGCGTGATGTGATATATTATGTGATGTAATATCATGTGATGTCTCTTCATATCATGTAATGTGATCACATTCCATGTTCCGATTAGTATATCGATAACCCTGTTGATAACTGTGTCGATAAAAATACCGATAACAATATCCATAAACATAGAAAAATACAACAATTGCAAAATCGATTAATTCATTGATAAATATAACAATCATCAGTATCGATTATTGTACATATCGATAAAAATATAAGTTACTATATATCAATATCCTTTATTGTATCGATTAATATATTAATTATTATATCGATTACAATAGCGGTTATTTAATCAATAACAGTATCGATAGCAACATCGATTATTTTATCGATAGCGATATCGATTATTATATCGGTAAAAATATCGAGTTTTATATCGATAACAATATCGATCTTCTCTTCACCTTTACCTTAAAGTGTTTAAATTTACTTTGATCTTCGTTTTTGCCTGTACCTCTAGGCATCTTTGTTTTTTGTTTTTATTCTCAAACCGCTAAACCGCTGAGAACCAATTCCATGTGCATTATTCCCCTTGAATTTGACAATTTACTCCCAACCAACCAACTGCCGCTAAAGAAGTTTCACTTCATAAATTCAAGAAATGTTCTTACCCTTTCAATTACCCTAATTCTTTTGTATCTGTCATTGTCTCCATTTTCGTCTTTATCTTCACTTCTGCCTTCTTTTTTTTTTGAGTTCATCGTTATCATTTATTTCTTCATCTTCATATTTATCTTTATTTCAAAGCTTAATTTCAAATGTGTAGTGAAACAACAGGCGAAACATGTCAAATTGAACATGTTGCAGCAACATCATTACACAATTCGAAAATTTTTAAACGACGGTTTTGGCCGTAATTTTCAACTAATTGTGAAACCATAAAAACTCTGCTCATCTACGGAAAAATGCCTTTCCAACGGTTTTCTTGGTTTTGAAATCGGTTCGGTAGAATCGCCAAACGAACGGAGACAAAATTTATGTTAGCGTATTAATATATAGATTAGAAAATAACTAACTATTTTTTTTAAGCAGAACGTAAGTAATCATTTTAATAGGGCTGTTCAGGATCTTGTGGAAATGGTCTTGGATTAGCATATTCGTTGCATTTGTAAATTCGCAACAATAAAATGCACACGTTTGCCATGGCAGCAAACAACAAATTTGCAAATGCAATTCCAACTGCAAATCCAAGACCATTTCCACAACATCCTGAACAGCCAAATTGTTTAACTGCAAATAAAATATTTCAATCGATTTATTCGTTTTTGGTTTACAACTGTTTTAAAAACGATTTCATGATTTTTTACCACATTTTGGCATAGTGACACGCCCTTTTTATAGGTTCTGTCAAATAATGTTGAAATTATCCTTCCCAGATAGCTAAGCTTTAAAATGCAAAAAACCATTTTCAAATCGGAGCAGTCTGTCCGAAGTTATTACATTACATACATATTTTGGGACTTTATTTTATAAGATGTATAGATGTTAACTTCCCAGCGGCACACTGCTGAATAGCGTTCGTCCACAATAGACCAATTTAAAATTGCAATCAACATTGCAGGTCGTCGGCTCATATCGATTTTTTTTTCTTTCTTTCGATGTGTTTTCGAAACACCCCTTTAAAGAGATCAAACAAATTTTCTTAGTTCTTAAAGCGAAGCAATTAAAGGAAGCGTTATTGCGCCAATACCTTAAGAAAACTCCCTAAAGTAGGAATATAGTATTATCTCCGAATTTTCCCTACTGTACGTACATACTTATCTCTGCCGATGTTATCCTAATCAATTATACTAGTATAATGAACCCTCTTTTGTTTTTATTTCAGTTTCATCAAACCATAAAAACGTACCTGAATGATCGTGTTTGGGACTTTCACTTTTATGTTTCTAAAGATTGGCCCGAGAAACCAATAATATTACATTTTCCAGGATGCACGCTTACGGTATGTATGTATAGCTAAATAGCTTAAGTCACTAGATTGGTCGTGCTGTAAAAATGTACTAAGTTATTAGAATGCTCTGAAAAGGAATTGTCTATATGTTTAATGATCAACTTCACTGGATTTAGAAAACTGAATCTCTGCTTAACGAAATCATAGCTAAATGCCAAAGGTATACCACCTCTAGCCATAATGATTGACAATGAAGCTTGCTGTAGGGCTTTGCCACTTTTTTAAATTTACACGGTCAAAAATTTGGGTTTAATTTTTAAACCGCGCTGGGACTACTGCCTTTTTTAAACTTTTATAGTCTACTTTTTAAACCAGTCAATAGTTTTACGCAATTTTTAATATATTCTGGTTTAAATTTTAGCTCTCTTTTTTTTAAACTTGGAAGGTTTGTATTTGAAACTGAATTTAGTTTGGTCATATATGTAGTCCAAAAAGTTTAAAATTAAAACCGAAATTTTTAACCGTGTA